TTTCCTTTTTCATTTTCATTTTAAGTTTGTTGAAGCGTGTGTGTGTGCGCGCTTGTATTGAAATTTCATGATGAAAGCTGTGTTGGTATTTCGAAGAAAGTAGACTGCGGAGAGGTGTTTTGAGAGAGATCAATTGGTGGGGTGTTTTTCCTTTTTTTTCTTTTTCTTTTCTTCTGTGGGCTGTTTCTTTTGTTACGAGAGATTTTCAAAGGCTGGTCCTTTCATCTCTTCGGATATCGTTTTGTGGGCATATTTCATAAGAAAAAAAAAAAATTAAGGGAATTCAGGAACTTTCATTTGTATGATGCTCAAGAACATCATATCAGTCTCTTGATGCTATTGATTTTTCTTTCTAGTAAGTCTTCATTTCGAAATTCCAACATGCATACAGCTTTTGATTTATATTCATTAATATTATTTATATTTTGTTACATTATCCGCAAACACAATTATCTGACGTCCAACCATTAAACACAAGACCACTCACCATGTTCTACTCTCTAGGTTCTGTTTCAACTTGCCTCATCACCATGCTCAGAAGAAACAAGACCAAATCCATGGCAAATGTATTACAATAATGAAGCAATAATTGGTGTTCTAACTAGACTAGTAGATAGTCCAATAAACTTTGAAAGAGCTAAAGAAGGCTACAACAGGGTTAAATAGGCTCTAAAACATGGCAAAGACCGCTCATAATTAAGCTGCTTCCATTCCTTTAAACAATCAGAAACTTAAAACCTTATTACATATGTAATCACCAAAACAACAGGAGTTTTGTCCTGTTTATTAACTACACCATCTACTTTTTCCTTGACAAAAAACAGAAACTTAGCCTCAACCACAAGAGAGCAGTAAAAGTAGATAAAAACTTAGTTACAAACTTCACGAGCAATTCCCAAGCGAGAATTGGCCACATCAAACAGAAACCTGTGATTCTGCTGCTGCAAGTTGGCTATCACATTCAAGGCGGTGTTCACGTTATTTGGAACTGGTGCCATGGCCAAGCAAGCGCGTGACCCTGCACTGGAATGTAAGAAGCTGTTTTCCATTGGCAATTTCATAGACAAGCCTTCAAGATGTAATGTTATTAAGGGTGCCTCAGATTCTGCTGTCGCGTCGAAGCATGTGTCAAATACCCCTATTGTTGAGAATGGGCCTTTCACTTGCTTCACAAACTCATTCCGGATTGCCTCATAAACGGGTTGGACAAATCGGGTTACAACCGTACCCGAGTCGATTATGGTCCCTGCCCCGGTGTTGGGGTTAAATGCTATATATTCTGGGGCGATGGGGACCCGAACCCGGCCCACGCTGACCCCGGTTAGGTTAACATAGTAAAGTGATGGCCGATGGGGGTTTTTTAGGAGCGGGGTGGTCCGAATATTTTTGGGCTGACCCACTGGCCCGAGTTTGAGGGAACCCGAGAAGTAGTAGGACTTGAAACTGGGTAAACAATAAGAAAACACGCTGGCGTAGACTGACCCGGATTGTGAAAGCAGTGACATGGGGCCCCGCCCCAGACCCAAAAGCCCTTGGGGTGGGACTGACCCACCAGAGATAGAGTTAATACATCCGAAAGCAAAATTTGGGAGAATGTCATTGGCTAATCCCAAGGAATCTTGTACCAAGGTGGCAGAGAAGGATGAATCTCCACCGTAGGATTGGTTAAAAGAGCATGCAGCAGCCCCAGTAGCCGGGCACGAGAGTCCACGGACCTGGGCGCACTGGGGCAAGGAGCAATCCAGTGACCCATAACTGGAAGAAGTGTTGGGTGAGAAAGTGGTAGCTGAGCAGCCGATGCATCCGGCGCATGGAACCCAAGCAACATCATTACTAGTATCAAGTACCATGAACATGAGCTGACCTGGAGTGCCGAGCTTGACCTTTACAACATAGTTGCCAATGTTTAGAACTTGTTGGCCTGAAGCAATTGGAACAGCCGTGGGTTTTTGGGCCGCCAGGCTGGACAGGTACTTGACCCTTGCTGGGTCTTTTGCGGCCATGTTAATGACTGTGTTGACCCATGAGTCAGGTTTTGGTGGGTTGAATGGTGAACATTTGCCATAGATTGGAATGATGGATAGGTCTGAGTTATCTGCCTGAGAGGCACAAGGGTCCAAAGCCTTGCTGGATGAGATGAGAAGCGCAAACAAGAGGAGTGTGGCAGTGAAGTCCATGGCTAAGAGCTAGGACTTCAGCTTGGAGGTAGGGGGGGAGAGAGGAATTTATTAGTGAGCGTGCATTAGAAACGAGAATCCAAGAAGATTTTATACATGCAATTAGTGCACCTGGAATTACTGAAATAGCCTTGTAATTATGATAGGCTAAAACATTGTCCAGGCCAGGCCATGCAGGAAACTTTCGGAACATATTCTGATATTCGGGATCTAAATAGAACACCCAACTTTAAGTGGGGCAGTCAGCACCCGAAGAATAGGCCGCAAAACTTATGTCCCTACGTGCCATGATGTTTGATCGTTCTTACAAAAAGGCCCCAGATTGCAGGGGAAACTGAGGCTAAATGACAAGCTTCAATGCAACCAGAGGTCAAGGACAAATTGAAAGCAAATATGAAATGCTTCAAGAATGTCCTTATCCGGTAAGACCTCCACCGTCAAAACTTTGCCCCTTCTTATCCACCAAAACCTCAATCCTACCACTTGGAGCCAACAACAAGCACTGACCTGGACTCTGCTGCAAAAGGTAACTCCTTGGTACGGTTCCAGTAATAAATAATAATTTAATGGTTCTTTTTCACTCCCTGGCAAGGACATGGGACATGAAACCATCCAAGAGGCTCAGTATTAGGATTGAAATTTTGGGACAATTGGAGGGTATTATTAGAATAAAGGCAAATGAGTTGTTAGGCTCGTGAATCCCTGCTGGAGGGTACTGCTATTTTGTCCCTACGTAAGTCTGCATGAGATGTGGTCGGTCACGGGCTCACGAAGACTTTGCCGACTGAACCGGGCCCCCACCAGCTGTAAACTCTGTAAGATAAACATCAGCATTCCAATCTCAAGATTCCAATGGGGGAACTAGATCTGCATCTCCTCCTAGCAGTAATACTTTTACTCAATTAGAAAGTACTCCATATATATATATTTTAGATTTGCTAGAGATATGATGCTTGATTATTTAACTCATACTTCAGATTTACTAGATATTATGATAGTCATAAATTGTAATGTCAGGAATTTTCCATTGTTTTGTAAATTGGAATTCATTCATGTGATCCTTGATTTGATTGTAAGGGAAAAAGAAGGAGATGGAGGACCTTTTTTTAGAAACAACAACTATTTGTCCGAAAATGAGCAATTTCTTTTGGTCATGTTCAGGAACAATATTGATCCCGTCGAAAACTAATCCATGTAGTGTCTACTGAAAATACAAGTGGATCACGACACGAGAGAATGGGCTCGTTTCACTAAAACCCTCAATGATTTATGAGAGCCCCCACCAGCATGCTCACGAGGTTGTCCTGTTCAGAGCATTTCTCGTTGTTGTCTTGTGAGATTGGTAAACTTTGCCACGGACGTCAATTTATATTATTTATGCAACAGGTCAAATTTAAAAAAGGAACTATACCCTAGGAATTTGGATCCTTCTCTTGAAAATATCAACACCTGCCAACTAGATCTTTTGCTTTTCGCTTAGATTGATTTTCCCATGAATTCTTCAAAAATCACAATCGATATTCATGAAATTAATCCGCCGGCACAAGCTGTTTCTATCCTTTCTTTCTAACTCATTGTAGTGGCGGAACGTTCATTATTACGGTCTTTGGAACTCCAGAGGACGGATATGAGCAAAATAAAGTACAAAAATTTGACCTCAAAACTTCAAGGACACTAAAAGTCAAGTACAGGTTTAGCAATTATACTATGCTCATTTCAGTTATACATGTGGTTAAAACCAAATAGATAAGTAGGAACTTAAACCAGAGGCGACAACAGCTGCAAAAAAATAAATAAATAAATATTCAGGCCATTTAAGGTGTACAACAATAATATAAATACAAGGAAAATAAATGAACAAATATTACCATAAAGACATTACAAGTCGATACAAGTAATTAAACATGCAGGCATGAAACAGGGATTTACAAGGGTGTCAGCACGGTATAGCTTAGTTCTCTAATTGGCAAGTGTGCAACACACCCCGCACAGAACAAGAGAGCAGTACCACTTCAAAAAACCACTCCAGGATAGCACCAGCATTTTCCTGAGCATTAGCACAACGGGTAAACAATCAAACATAAGTCAATATCAGAGGGAATGAAATTTCACCAAATAAAGTTCAGAATTGTGCTGAGTGCATATTTGGATAAAAAAGAAGACAATTTGATGTGCATGGAGATGGAATAAAGATAGAATTTTAAAGCAAGTTACTGTCTAATCTATCCTCGAGCAGCCCCACCCCCAACTTTATTTCTTTCTCATATCATACTCCCTCCAGCATCTTCCATCCCCAAAAACAAAAAATAAAGGGAAATAGGTTTCCTCATTTGGAAGGTGTGCAAAAATAACTGCACAGTTTTGGACATTATAACACTAGAGAGCTTCCAAACATATCCCTAATCCAAAATCCCATAGGTTTCTGTGGTATATTCCATCTTGTTGCACATAATCATTACCCACTAATTTGGCAAACTTTGGTAAATAAGTGAGATAGATAGCATAATGTACAGCCTGAAAGTCATGTTAATCTATCAAAGTTAAACTAAAAATAGAGAATGTGACAATTTTATGCCAGACCATGGCAGTCCATCCTTTCAAGTTACTAATACCTTTAACCTAGCTAGTCAAGAATAATAAAATTGTTTTTCAGAGTGGCTGGGTAGGCAAACTTCATGTACCTCAAGTGAATTATTCTATGTACCTAAATAGAAGAAAATTTCAATGTATGTTATAAATGATCAACAGTGATGAGAAATTTAAATATGGATATACAGAAAAAGGAAAATTGCATTTCTGAAAGATAAATAGAATTTATTTAGAAAACCAGAGTTACTTTGATCAATTAAAGGATATTGGACAAATAAATATATCCAAGATCATGATCTCGGCTTAGTTAACATCAGGAGATCACTAGCAAGCTTCAAACGGACAATTCTCTTAATTGGGGATCCATTAATCATGGTTCTGTGATGTTGCTTATGATCAAAATTGTTTCCATTTTCTTTGGGCTGAATAAGGACAAAACTTTTTCGCCCCAGCGGTATGTTGATAAGTATAGCAATAGAGACATCCAAGTAAAGATCATTTCCATTTAATCTTTCACCAGAGATCACATACAAGATGGCTGTTTGGTGTATCCTTCAGGTACTTGGCAACAAGTAGAGATCTTTAATTTTAAATGCTGAACCACGATTGAACCTGAAGACCTTTTTGCGTCAGATTCTATTAGTATTCTTTGGGGTAAAGACTCTTAATGCCAAGGCTAGAAAGTGACCAGCTGTTACTTCAAGGAATGGAATAATCATAAATTTTCCATTCAATGAGAAGCATTAATTGCTGGCCTATTTAGAGTTCAGATAGCAGTTGGTAAATATTCAAGCTAATATTATTTAATGGATCAAAGAAAATGGAATCAAAAGGCTAATATTCATGGCCAACAGAACTTCAAACAGTATCAACAGCAAGAAACAATAAATTGCCTTTAAGAGCACAAGATGCAAACCATGTACGCCCACGCACATTACATAAAGAGTAAAAGAATAAAAGACCTTAGCTCCTCATGAATATATTTATATACATGAACTGTTAGCAATCAATGACAAGTTTAAAAAAAAATAATAAGAGGACAGGAAAAGAAGAAGATAAATGGAACAGGACTTGTCATATATGGTGTTTTGAAGCATACCTACTTAAGCTTGGGAGGAAGTGCCCTTGCTCTTTATAATGATAACAGGGCATTGTGCATGGTTGGTGCAGTAGTTGCTTACACTTCCCAAAAACATTCTGTTAACATAGAACATAATGAGTTTCATCTCGTTTAGCATTGTGATAGATCATAATTTGCAATGTATTTTCAATCAATAAACAATTTTCAATTTCTTTGCCTGTATGAAGGTTCATAATCATCCAATTCCCATGACACTATAAAAACCAAAGAGACAGGACTTTAAATGTATACAATTTCCCCATGATCAACCCTACAGGACAAACATCTGATTCCACCATAACCTCATATTTTAGTATCTCACTGGTCCTTCAAGCAGAGAAGACACATCTCAAGGGAGAGAGTCTCTTTTCCCACCAGCCACTTTAACGATGATACATGGCATCCTCAACATAAATCAAAAATAGTGATTTCAAGAAAATCATAGCTTTCTCCAGATAAACTTCTGGACACACATGTGCCGATGATTCAAACAACTTGAATGCATAAATCTATTGAACAAATTCCCAAATCCAGAAATATTAAATTTTAATTCACCTTTCACTTAGAAGCTATTACAATAACATTCTATTACAATAATAGCCTCTGTGCTAGCTTGATGACTAAGACTTTCTCTACTCCATTATTCTTATGAGTTATGACTGATCATCATTTAGATGGTAAAACAACTTGACAACGATGTGAAACACCAAAATTCACACCAACTGTAGGCACTGTTGCATCCAACAAGTAAAACGCTTTCGACCCAACGATTTCTTCAGGCTTTTAAAACAGTTTGACCAAGTTGTCAAGGAAAATTAAGTCGCAAGGAGGCAAATACCTTTTAATAGGGCCAAAAGCACGAGACCCCATCACAAGCAAATCAGCATGCAAATTTTCAACTACTTCACAAATCTTTTCCTTCGGATCCCCAATCGCAACTTGCGTTTTCACATTTGCCTGAATTAGAAATATTCCACACTCTTAATCATTTTTCTCGGCATGTTATAAACTAAATTTAAAAAAAAAAAACTCATAAATTTTAATCAAATGAATTACTTACTTAAATTAATCATATAACGCCAAAGGAACGATAACTTGGTGAAGGGAAAAAAAAACTCACGTTTCTTTCAGAGCAAATCTGCAAAGCATGATCCAAAATCACCTCAGTGATTCTCTTCTGGTGCGCCTCGATGGCCGCCGTGAATGCAGGCACCTCTAGACCGCCTGAAGTTAAAATTTCAAATAACAATCCATACGTTTCTCGAATAAATTAATCGAAATGAGAAAAAACCAAAAGGTGGCTTAACTAGGCCCGCCGAAAGGGATGGCGCCGGGATTGAGGCCGGCAGCGATGGACGGAGGAGATTGGACGTGGAGCACGAGGAAGTAACCGGGAGATTTGGTAGAGTCGGGAGTAGATGATCGGAGCTTGAGATTGTCGAGCGCCCATCTTAACGCGTCCATGCTCTCCTCGCTGCCATCAACGGCTACGATAACGCATCCCAAGTTTCCAGGCATGATTTTGACGGGGTCGTTCACTTTCGCGACGTTTGGAGATGATCCTGGTAACGAAATGAAGATGAATGTTTTGTTTCTCTTTGTTTTCTACCGTGATTGACCGATATCAATTAACAGAATCGCTGCCAAAAAAAGCTCTTTGAGTTGCGTGCCGAGTTTACTAAGTAGCCAAAAGCAAAAGTGGCTGTCCGTCTGTCCAAGTCTATCTGGCTCTTGAGGCGCGCCAACGGGCAAATAAACATAAAAAGAAAGAAAACAAAGTGCGGCCCGCTTGGTTTTGGTGCGGGTCCACAAAACTTGCCCGAGGGAAGCCCAATCCTTGTTGGAACAAATGGCCAGCAATCCAAATGGGTCACCTAATAATTATCCAACGAGGTAAGAGGTTCGGCATTTTTTACCATTTGGGCCTCTTCCTACATATTTTATATAAAACCTTGTACACTTGTAGTGCTTTGGTTCATTGTGACCAGGACAAGAAGTATGAATGGCTGATCTAATAAAAGTTAAAATTATAGCATCATGGCCGTGAGCTGTGAGTGACCCATTGCAAAGCGGGTTTCATCATTTCACAGAGAGGAAAAGGATTTCCCTCGTACCACAAAGGAGGAAAAGGGTTTCCCTCGTACCACAAAAGAGCAAAAGACAATGTCACTAAAGCAGGTGCAGAGTTTTTGAATCATTCCTACGCAACAAAAGGTTGTGAACCCACGAGAAAATTTCCGCCCCCAACGTACTTTTCTTTCTGCAAAACCGATCAACGAAGTAGTTACCACCAAACGCTACAGCCGACGAGGATTGAGCATTGAAAGCCAAACAGTGGATTTTACTAGTCATGGATTTCAATTATTAGGGTGCGCAACTAGATGAATCGCATTTAAGGTAATGGGGTTGCTCCCGGCATCAGAAATTTTTAGCAGGGCCATCATCTGCCTCAGCAATGACTCTTCGTCCTTTTCGTGGATCAATAATTGAGGGAATCAAATATTTTTGTCCCTTTCTGCTAGAGTTAGGTGTGAATTAGACAATTTTGTAAGATAAATTTTTAAAATTTTGTTACATAAAAAAGATGGAAAGATTGTAAAGTGGTAAGATGTGGGACGATTTCCTTTCCTTATTCTCATTAGCTCTTGAAAGTTGTTCTTCAAGGTCATCGTCAGTCTGTCAAACATTGGAGGACAAGAGGAGGACCTCTAGGACGATTTTCTAGTACCACTTATGCTGGCGAATAATTTAAAGGTGTCCATAATCAATTTAAACTTTTAAATTAAATATTTGTTATAATTTGACATACCATATTTTAAATTATTAATTTTATATCATAAAATATAATGTGACGCATGATGTTAAAATTTATCAAAATTTTTAAAATTAGGTGTCTAGTAAATGATAGAATGGTATGGCAGATGGGAATGGTTAATGCATTTATTCTTGTGCTTGTTGTTAACAACTAAGCAAAGGCAGACAATTTGGTGGAAGAGATTGATTATGAATACCATGTTCTTTCTCAGCCATGATCGATAATCTATCTACCTAGGAAAATTGCATTGCTTTTTCCAAATTTAAGCCGTATGTTTAATGAGGGCAGGAAATTCGTTACAGGTGAAAGGCTGAATGCAGGTGGAAACATCATGGGATTGCACTTAACTGACTCATTTATAACATAAAATCAATCGGGCGAATCAGTAAAGATTTAGGTAGAAAATTGGTTTGTCACAGACACATAAAAAACGCAAAATTCATTCAGAGGAGCTTTCTTGAAAGCTGGAGTGGAATGCTCCGTTTAAAATGCATGACAAAGAAATAACAAAAAAGGAAAAAAAAATAAATAAATAAAACAGACGTTATAAATGGTAAAGAAAGTCATTATAGTTTCCCAAGAAAATTCTGATAGGCTGCCGAGAAAATTATGAAGTAGGCATGAATATAACGGCTGACGGATTAGATTCATTGTAGGGTCACCTTGCAATTTGCAAGGTTGTTCCAACTTCCAAGCTCCAACTTATTTCCATGTTGAAAAATAATAAGGAAAAAAAGAATTGGTCCTTTTTAACTTTCTTTCAGGTATAACAATTTATGTCTTAAAAAAAAAAACCTGAAGCGAAAATTAGAAGAGATTAATGGTCAAGAAACCTTTGTCTGCCGTCTAAAACAAGGTGCAAACATTGGACCCCTGAAATCCTGATACTGAAATAGAGTCAAAAGGTGTTTAGAAAATAAACGAGGGTGAAATCCTGATTTTGACTAATGAAGCTCACCGACTGTCAAATTTAGGACTAAAGTTTTATTTCCAGTTGGTCATTGTGTTTGTCTCATTCCACACTCATTTTCCAACAAACAACCCACCACCAAATTTACAGAGAGGCTTAAATAAAGTAAGAATAAATCAAAGTTGGTCTAAGAAACATAATCATAATTATCGTTAGATTATGAAAAGGGTAATCCGATTGATCAAAAGTCATAGCTTCTTATCATCAAAAGCTATGAAAAAAGAGGGAAGAATATGTCATGGCTTCTCCCAATCAAATTCGTCGGAAAGCAATTACTTGTAGACTGGTTTATTTCCACCCTTGGAAAACCCAAAGACTGAACAAATCTCTGGAGTAATTTGGGAAATGGTGAGTGAGCCATCATCATCAGCTCTGCTCCCCTTTCACCAAATCAAGAACAAATCTCCACCGTCCGATGGCTCATTCGCTTTGCAAATATCACAGCAACCGTCCAACGCAGTATCCCTCAGGAACACAATCGTCACCCAAAAATAGATACATAAAAGAAAAAACAAAATTGGGAATTTTAATAGAACCGGAGTGAAGCCGGTTCAACTCGTGGCCCCCACCTGGAGGCCGAATATTTGATGACCAAAGAATTCACGCTTCTCGATACCTGAAAACAAAATTCCTTTCCTTCGACCGTCAAATAACTCTTTTTATATAAGTTATTGTAACGTATCGAAAAATCTATGGTAATAATAGGTAGATGATATTCAATATTTAAATGCTAATTTAACGGCCATTAATTTATTTATTTTTTTCCGCATATTTCTCTCTCTAAAATCTCGATCTAGGAAAAACAGAAAAAATCTTCGGTTGTCCGAAAATTCGTGAGCTGAAGCAGAAGCTTAAACTTTCGCTTTTTTGCTAACCCAAGCAATATCAACATTCTTCTCTCACTGTCAGTTCCTTTTAGATTTATTTACTTATATTTGAGAAAATTCTCAATTATTTCATTTTCGAGATCACGGGGCTGTTGAACGACCTTGTTCTAGTCAAAATCAACGGTTACGATTGCATGCTCGCCGACCGGAGTTTGTTCCTCTCGCCAGAGCGACCGCCTCGACGACGTCGTTGGAATCTATGTGTTTTGGTGAGATTAGGAGGCTAGGGTTTTCTGATTCCGTTGGATGCCTATTGGGTGCAGGATAAATGCTTCTTGCCGGGGATCTAGGGATTTCGAGCCTGGTCCTTGTGGTCTCCCTTGTTCTTCCTTTGATCGGCTTGTTCATTAGGCGGAAATGGCGGCTCTCTGTAGCCAGGCAAGTGGAGATCAAGAGGCTTTTGATTTTGGCCTCGGAGGAGGCCGCTAGGGCCGAGCTTGAGGCCTCGCTTGGATACGGCACCATTTCGGTCTCGCGGAACTATCACCAATGCGCAGTTTGCTTTTGTCCTACTACAACGCGGTGCGCTCGCTGTAAAGCCGTTCGATATTGGTACGTAAGTTTTTTTGATTTCGGGTTATTGTTTTGATTTGTTGAGAATTTGTTTAGGGCGTTTAGTTTGAACAGTTTTCGAAATGAATCTGATTCTTTATTTGACAATAATATCCTAAATGTATGCAATTGAAGAAATATTTGGTTAGGGAAGTGCTTCCTTTAGGACTACTAGAAGCGGTTGTTGTTTATACTCAGGCTGTGTGGTCTAATTAAAATACTCCAAACTGTGTATAAATGTGCATAGATGTATAATTTAGTGGCACAAGGGGTGTGTTTAGGAAGTCGGAAATGAGGCAATTTAGAAGACTTGGTGAAATTGCATTGCAGATTCAACATCGACAGTCTGACATGGATTTGGGGTTTGGAGTTTGTCTTAAAAACTGCAGTACTTTGATGGATGGTTTTGCTGATTTTGAACGAATGCAGTTTGTATATGGCTTGTGTGAGCCTCCTATCTATATCTTAAAATATGAGAGTTAGAAAGCTTTTTAACCGTTGTTCTTAAAGATGGCCTTTCTCTCATCCATTTTGTAGTTTAGGAGTCCAGATGTTGTGTGTTTAATGTGTAGATTTGGTGGAAAAATATATGAATACCACTCTAATGAATGGAGAAAATTTTTCATCTTTTCCTTATCATGTTATTATAATTCTTAGGACATGTTTTTAGGGTAGATCGATACTGAATTATTGCTGTATTGAGCATTATTTTCTGATAACACAATTGTTCACTTTTATGGAATTGTCTTTTAACAGTATTTTGTTTACGTCAAAATTTGGATGTTTTAGTTCTGCTAAGTGTCAAATTATTCACTGGCGGCAAGGTCATAAGGAAGAATGCCATCCACCGTCCACTACAACACACCAGAATCATGATGAAGGAAGTGATTCTGGTCAGAAGGTGGTAGAGCAAGACCAATATGGAGACAGAAATGAAATTGAAGAAAAGCAGCATACAAAGCCAACTGACACATCCTCCACAAAACCTGCATTGTCTAATTCCACTAGCTCTTCTGTGGTTTTACATGGGAAGGGTGATGATATAAAGGTTGAGTTCCATGCTGATGGGGAAGGAACGAACTCTGCTTCTGAATCTTCCAGTGTTTCATTTTCTGGATTTTCTTCTGCAGCTGGTAGTGATTCATCTGATGATATTTCTGTGTGCGAGAGCATCAGTTCAAATGAGCCTGATAAATTTGATAGATCTTCATCTGCTGATGCTAATCTTGACACGTTTTGGACTGCCTCTGGTGTCAATGATGTGGATCAAACCAATCCATCATCCCCAAAATTTGTTAGGTTGGTTGATTCTGTAGATAAATTTACCAAATTAAATAAATTAAATCAGACAAAGCCTGATCGAAGTGGAGAGAGTCAGTGCACATCAACTAGTTCTTCAGGTTTGGGCATCAGTGGTACATGCGAGGGTTCAATTGCTGAGCCTTGTGCAACTACTTCTGGTTTCTGGGGCAGTTCTCTTGAATCTGTTGAGTCTACAAGTGATGCTGACAACG